ATCATCAACATCATCAACATCATCAACATCATCAACATCATCACCACTCTTCTCCTTATCATCATGGTCGTCATCATCATCACCATCATCATTCATCATGCATCGTAATAACAGTAAAATGGGAAGTGGGGTTTGAATATGGGTTAGGGTTTGATTCCCTATGACATGGGCCGGAATAGTTCTGTGGTAGTGACATCACTCAGTCCATATATGGTTATACTAGGGGCCCCCAAGCCCACAACAGAAGGTGGAGGTGAGGAAAAGCAGGGCGAGTGCGGTCTTTGCAGAGTGCACGGAGATTTTTTGCTACTAGCTTAATGTTGACAGAGGTTGAATGAGGTCTGAAAACGCTGAAGGAATTGGTTTGCGTGGACTGGCCACCTGAGACGACGTGGGATAACGAGTTCAAGACAGGCATTCCACGATCGAGCCGTGGCCACTTCCGGCCACAACACGATGCACCCGAATCCGCTTTGTTATAGATTCTCTTGCCTTGCCAGTTCCTCTGCAATCCTCAGACCTAACATTTTCAATCCGGAAAGCTGAAGCTCAGCATCTTGCATAAGGTAGAAACCCCAGTGTCCCAACGGCAACCCACGAACCTGAATACCGCAACCCCAGCTATTTATACTAGCCTTACAGTCTCTTCGTTGGCTTAGATGATTCTGCCACACTGTACCCCCCCACACACACTAATCTATCATTACGGCCCCTTGGAAACGGAGCAGAAAAACAAGGCCAACTCAACCCCCAAACCCCAAACCCATGAACCCCGAACCCGAAACCCCAAACCCTAAACTCTCCCCTGGAGGGATTCTGATGCCGTAGCTGGAGACTTCGCGCAGACGAAAAGAACCCTTCAACAACAAAAAGGAACTTAAACTCTGTGGGTCCAAGTCTCACGGCTCCCCTAAATCGTAAAGCTTAAACCCTTAAGCCCCTAAACCCTAAACCGCTAAAAGCCTAAACCCTAAACCCTAAAGCCCTAAACCTGAAACCCTAAAAGCCCCAAAACCCCAAACCCCTAAAAGCCTAAACCCCTAAACCCTTAAAGCCCTAAACCCCTAAACCCTAAACCCCTATAGTTCCCTTAGAGTATCCTTATAGAGCCCTTTAAAGGAACCCCAAACCCCTATAGTACCCTCATAGACCCCTTTAAAGGAACCCTAAACCCTGAACCCTGCATTTGTTTTTGCCTCCGCGAGGTCGCTGGGCCCAGTGTTGAGCTCTCCTGCAGGAGCGGGAGGCCATACTGTTGATGGACAAAACCCTGCATTACCCTTTATAAGGAATATACCATAGTTCCCATAGTTTAGAGTCCTTGGGGTCATGCAGGATTTTGTCCATCAGCAGTAGTATAGTACGGCTTTAAAGGTTTAGGTTTAAGGTTTAGGGCTGTAGGGTTTGGGGTTTAGGCTTTTAGAGGTTTAGGGTTTAGGGGTTTAGAGCTTTAATACTGTTGATGATATAAATCCTACATTATCCATGATAAGGAAGATACCATAATCCCCATAGTTTAGGGTTGTTAAGGTAATGCAGGATTTATATCATCCACCGTAGTATAGGGGCCTTAATAATTAGAATAGGGCTTAGGGCCTTCATAATTAAAATAGGGTTTAGGGCCTTAATATTTAAATAGCGTTTAGGGGCCTTAATGATTGGAATAGGGTTTAGGGCCTTAATAACGGGAGGTTGGAAGGCCCCTAGCAAAAGGAGGGTTTAGGGTCTAGGGTTGAAGGGTTTGGGGTTTGGGGTTTAGGTTTCGGGGTTGGGGGCCTAGATAATTTCCAAGACCATTTTTTGGTGTTCCTTAAGGGGGTCTATAAGGGATCTATAGCAGGGTTCTATGGTATAGGGCCGAGAGAATTACCTATACCATTCTGCCGTTGCCACTGCGTCGAACCAGAGGAGTCGCCCCTGATCGGGCTAGCCCTTCCCAGGGCCGGATCTCGAGGGCGCCATGTTGTTTCCATGCCCTAAATTCCGAAGTGATCTATAAAGCTCGCATGGACAGCAGCATTGCACTTAGTCAGGTTTGTAGGGGTGCTAAACATTACCCAATAATTAAGCACTTGAGTTTTAGAGCCAGAGTTTGCGAAGCACCCGAAGCGACTCTGCACATTCCAGCAAACGGCCTAGGTATCTAAGAAGTATCAGACAGTATCGTAGTATTCGGCCAGGTGAGATCCTAATGCAGAGCCGTAAAACTTGTCAGAGCTTTACCATCCAGAGACCATCGAAGGGCCTCAAATCTTGTCGCGAGGGACCTTATGAAACCCGATGAAAGCAGCGCGGCAAAGCAGCAGGTGCATGAGGAAAGGTGCATCGGTCGGGAGCTCATCTGCCAGTCGACTGAGGGTTTAGGCTATAAGATTTAACTCAACCCTGGGTGCCGAGCCTAAGTTTATGAAACATGATGAGTTTTGACCCTTCTGTAGCCCAGAAAACCTACACCTTTGAGTCGTAAGCCATGATAAGTAGCCTGAAGAGGAGGTCTCTTTGGCTACAGGTAAACCCTGTGAGCCCTCTGATAAGCCCCAAGTCCTTGAAGGTGGCAAAGTTGGATCCTAAGCGCTGGACCCTGGAGCTCGACCCTGAAACCCAACAACGAAAAATAATCCGTAAACTCTGAACCCAAACCCTGAACCGAGCATCCCTGAACGAAAGAAGCCAAGAACCCTACTTCAGGATAGCAGGTCTCGCAAAAGGACAGAACTTCGCGCCAACGGTACGATCTCACAACAGATTACACAGCAACCTTGTATATCCCGACAGGGGCACTAGGAACCCCACCTCAGGCTTCACAGAGACCTGAAAGAGCCTTTGCAGAATCCTTCAAAGCCATTTAAAAGCACATGAGGACTGAGGCCTTTGCCCCTGAAATGACCTCGCAATTCGAAGCATAAACCCTAAACCCCAAAGCTTGCACCCCAGACTCTAAACCCTAAACCTGCAACCCCCCCAAACCCCACCTGCTGCCCCTTTGCTCAAGCCGCTACGGCTCTAGCTCGCGGGACGGGAAGATAGGCGTTTCCGGGCCAGTGCTCCCTGAGGTTCCGCTCAATCCAAAAAGGGTTTACGGTTTAAGGCGTGGAGTTTCGGGTTTAGGGGTTGAGGGCTTGGGGTTAGGGTTCAGGGCTTGGAGTTTTGGGTTTAGGGTCTAGAAGGGCTTAGGGTCTAGGGTTTAGAGTTTCGGTTTAGGGTCTAGAAGGGTTTAGGGCTTAGCGTTTAGAGTTTCGGTTTAGGGTCTAAAAGCGTTTAGGGTTTAGAGTCTCGGTTTAGGGTTCGAAAACCTGTTCCATGGGTTGCCGCTGTGCGCGCTGCAGGGACTGAGCCGGTGAGAAGGTTACAAAAGGGGCCTAAAGAATTACCTATACCATTTTTTGGGGGGTTCCTTAATATCATTATAGTATAATATGGCTCTAAGGGCTTAGGGTCTAGGGTTTAGAGTTTCGGTTTAGGGTCTGGAAGGGTTTAGGGTTTAGAGTTTCGGTTTAGGGTCTAAAAGGGTTTAGGGTCTAGGGTTTAGAGTTTCGGTTTAGGGTCTGGAAGGGTTTAGGGTTTAGAGTTTCGGTTTAGGGTCTAGAAGGGTTTAGGGTTTAGAGTTTCGGTTTCGGGTCTAAAAGGGTTTAGGGTTTAGGGTTTAGAGTCTCGGTTTAGGGTTCGAAAACCTGTTCCATGGGTTGCCGGTGTGGGCGCTGCAGGGACTGAGCTGTAAGAGGTGGTTCGTGGGGAAGGGCCGGTGAGAAGGTTACACAAGGAGCCGAAAGAATTACCTATAACATTTTTTGGGGGGTTCCTTAATATCATTATAGTATAATATGGCTCTAAGGGCTTTGCCGGCTTTGCCGAAGCTCGGAAGTGCTGAACCTCCCAAAGCCTTAGGCCAAGATGCTTCAGGGTCTTTTCCGTGGGAGTTCGGGGCAGGAGTTTCCGATCTGTTGGGGATCAAGGTTAAAAGGTTGATGGCTTGGGTTTTGTGGTTCACGGTTTACGGTGTATCATAGGGACCCTTAGCAGGGTCCCCCCTCCCCCCTAAAGGGTCTCTATGAGTTTAGGGTCCAGGCTTGAGAATTCAATATCGAAGGACAGCGGCTGATTGTGATGAAGGCGACGCCTCGGACGTGTCAGGGACGGAGTATAGTGGCCCTTATGGTATCCCTTACAGGAGCCCTTTAAAGGAACCCTATTCTAATTATTAATGCCCTTATATGATCTCCTAAGTTTCGGAAGCTCGCACATCTCAGAAGCCTCTCTCTCTAGCTCCGTCGATCCCCGGCCCTCAAACATGCAGGCCAGAACATCAACTCTGCTTAATAAAGGGGCCTAAATATTTACCAATCCTATTGTGGGGGTTCCTTATCATGGTTTCAGCATAAAGTACTCAAAGCCCTATACTAATTATTAAGGCTCAGCCCCAGCAGGCACAGTAAGACCCGCTTATCCTTAGCTCTTTTTTGTTTGTATGCATACACTTAGACAGAATGTATATACATTTATACATATACATACACATGATTATACACATACACATGCACGTGCATACACATACAGTATATATGTGTGTGTATGTGTATACATATATGTACATATATTCATATATGCATGCATACATGCATGCATTCATGCACATACATGCGCACATGTATATACACACACATATATCTCTCCATATATATATATATAGATATGGAGATGTAAACGCGCAACACATATGTATACAGATACCTATATTGCCACATCTGTCTATCTATGTACCCATCTATCTACCCACATAGCTAGCTATCTCTCTGTCTCTCTCTGTACATGTATATACATATATATATATATATATATATATATATAAATGCAGATGTATATATGTAGGTGTGTATAGGCGTGCCTGTTTGCACCATTTTCACCCCAGGTCCTTGAAGCTCTACAGTAGCTCTACTCACGACGTCCTCCGATACTGCAAGTATGCCCGGCCTTGTTCTAATCCTAAGCTGCAATCAGGCGCCATGGGGGCTTACAAGTACCTGGAGGAGATGTGGCGCAAGAAGCAATCGGCCACTGGTCACGGACAGAAGGGCCCCCTCCCTTGACGACCCTTGATCTCCTCGGAAACCCATCAAAAGCAAAATGCAAACTCATTTAAATCCTCGAAGCCCACTTTGAAAGCCGAGGTTCTAGCTTTCAGGCTCATAGCCTCTAGTTCGAGCCCGGTTTTCTCAGCCTGCGCTGCGAAATCCAGGGTTCTATACATGTGCCAGGGTTTCTACCAGGCGCTGCAGAGTTTTGCAGTGCTTGGAGGGTCTCAAACTCAGACGTTCACGGTTCAGGGTTTAGGGTTAACTTAGCTGGGGTTATGAGTAGATATTTATGAGTAGGTATAGCTATGCTTGTCTTACTCAGAACCGCTTACTCAGTCCACTGACCCTTCAAGTAGGGGTTTCAAACAGGTTTTAAGTTGAACATGGGCGTTTTGACAATGTTCATGAATGTCTAAGGATGGTAAGATGCTACCCCCTGCCTCAAGACAATTGCTGACCTATGAAGGCTGAATCTGAGACACCTAACCCCAGCTTTAAAACATAACGCCCGCTAAGCCCCAAACCCGCAGCCCCAAGCCTTCCACCGTAAAACCTCAACCCTCAACCCTATCTACACCCGCAGCCCTGAACCCGAAAAGCCAGAACCCAAAGCCCAAGGCCCTAAACCTTAGGATGTGATGCGCTTCTTCGCCCGCTTGCGAAATTGGGAGTTTCGGCAGCTGTGGGGCGCCAAGAGGGTGGCTTGAGGGGAGCTCTGGGTTTGGGGTTTAGGATGTTTTTGCGGGGGTTTGGGGTTCTTGGTTTAGGGTTTAGGATGGTTTGGGGTTCTGGGTTTTGGGCTTGAAGTGGTTTAGGGTGGTTTGGGGCCTGGGGTTTAGGGTCTAGGAAGGTTTGAGGGTTTGGCATTTAGGGTAAGATGATTTGTGGGTTTGGTGTTAATCAGGGTGGTTTGGGGTCTAGGCTTTGGGTTTAGGGACGTTTGTGGGTTTGGGGGTTACGGCTGCAGGGGGTTTGGGGGTTTAGGATGGCGTGTGGGTTGAGAAGGGTTTCGGCTGGTTTGTGGGAGAGTTGGGGTTTTGTAGGAGAGTTTGGAGTTTAGTATAGTTTTGAGGAGGTTAAGGTTGGGTTTTAGGGACCTCTTGTTAAGCGAACACTCTGGGTTCCGGGTTCAAGGTTTAGGCTTCAGTGCTTGGGGTTCAGGGTGTAGTTTTCGAGGCTTGAACAAGAACAGCAGCATGTGAAACCCTGCACCACCCTTGTAAGACTGCACGAGACTCTTACTGGTGTTCTTCTTCTTCTTCTCATTGTTGCTATTGCCGTCATCCTTCCTCTTATAAACCCTATAGCCTAAACCCTAAACCCTTTCTTGTTTTTTGTTATCATTCTGCTTCTTATGGAACCTACAAAACTGACCAAGGCCTGCGGTGCACCGCTGCACCAGGCCCACGCGCGCGGACAAAGCGCGGAAGATGGGCTACAAGGCTCCACATTGAACTGTAGTCTCCTTCGTTTTTTTTTAAAAGGTTTTTGTTCATATACAACCCAAGAGAATATTAAAACTACTATTTTTATTATGGTTCTAAGGCGGCTGTAGTAAGAAAGGGCTTCCTTTCTGGGCAAGAGCTCGGCCCTAAACTCTAACCCTGAACCCTAAGCCCTGACCACAGCTCCTGTAAGCGCCTTAGGGATACTGGTGGGGGGACCAAAGGGAAAGTGAAATAAGAAAAGCCAGCACACCACACTTTCAGTGCCTTAGCTGGGGTCGCTTTGGCAAAGTGAGCTTTAAAGGAGCCCTTAGAGGAGCCCTTAAAGGAGATCCCTTTAAGGAGATCCCTTTAAGGAGCCCTTAAAAGGAAGCTTATAACTAGATCCCCCTTAACTAGATGCCTTAAAGAAACCCTACATCGATCCCTTAAAATGGAGCCCTTAAAGTTCCCTGGTGATAAGGGTCCCAGCAAGGCCCAGCCGCAGTTAAACCCTCAAGGCCTCGGGATCCGAAACCTTCGAGGCCTCGGGATATGCCCGAGATGAAAGAAGACAAAGGGTTTAGGGTTTAGGGTTTAGGGTTTAGGGTTTAGGGTTTAGGGTTTAGGGTTTAGGGTTTAGGGTATAGGGTTTAGGGTTTAGGGTATAAGGGTTTAGGGTATAAGGGTTTAGGGTTTAGGGTTTAGGGTTTAGGGTATAGGGTTTAGGGTTTAGGGTTTAGGGTATAGGGTTTAGGGTTTAGGGTATAAGGGTTTAGGGTATAAGGGTTTAGGGTTTAGGGTTTAGGGTTTAGGGTATAGGGTTTAGGGTTTAGGGTTTAGGGTATAGGGTTTAGGGTATAAGGGTTTAGGGTTTAGGGTATAAGGGTTTAGGGTTTAGGGTTTAGGGTATAGGGTTTAGGGTTTAGTGTAACATGCCAAGCAATGGCGCTCTGCAGTCTCCGGCATGGGGGCCAGGACTTGCAGAAGTCTGCGCGAAGACTTGGAAGCAAAGATGTCCGACAGCCGTCTCTGGTCTGTGAAGGGCCTATCCATGGACGTGCAGGGCATTACCGTGCAGTATGAGAAGCCCGCCAGCTTTTGCGGCCGCTCGGCGATTCCCGGCCAGCGCACATGTGCAAGCTGTTGACTTTCTTCTCAGTGGCTTCATTTTTTCCAAATGCAAGCTTTTTTTTGATGCGTTTGCCCGGTTTGGCCCTTTCTAACAAGATGAATACATCCCCACGTTTTGGCCCCACCATGTTAAACTTTTCCCTTTACTAGAGGGACCCGCGGCAGCCGCTGAAGCATCATCGCGACGAGAAGGGCAGACAATAGTTGCTGCAACTAAGTACAGCTAGGTTTCCCAGCAGTGCCCTTTTGCCCTTTTTGTTTTGTTTTGGGGTCTCGTTTTTCAACTCGAATACTAGGAAGAACTTACTGTTAAGGGGCTACCGGGGAACCTAGACAATCTGGGCTGGGCAGCAATAGGGTCTGGTCAAAGCCCATGATCTGATTTTCCTAGCCCCCTGCGCATTGTTTTTGGGATTCAGGAAGTAGGGTTTAAGGGGATGCCAATCAAAAAAAAACTTTTTTTCAATCATTTTTTCAATCAAAAAAACCTTTTTCCAATCAAAAAAAAACTTTCCCTTATTAAAGGAAGCACGACAGGAAGGAAGGAAGGAAGGAAGGAAGGAGGGAAGGCAGGAAGAAAGGCAGCAAGGAAGGATGGCAGGAGGAAGGCAGGAAGGAAGGAAGGAAGGAAGGAAGGCGGGGAGAAAGGGCGAGGAAGGAAGGAAGGAAGGAAGCAAGGAAGGAAGGAAGGCAGGAAGCAAGGAAGGAAGCAAGGCAGCAAGGAAGGAAGGCAGGCAGGCAGGCAGACAGGAAGGAAGGCAGGAAGGAAGGAAGAAAGGAAGGAATGAAGGCAGGAAGCAAGGAAGGAAGCAAGGCAGCAAGGAAGGAAGGCAGGCAGGCAGGCAGACAGGAAGGAAGGCAGGAAGGAAGGTACAACAACAACAACAACTACTAGTACTACTACTACTACGGCTGATAGACAAAATCCTGCATTACCCTAACGACCCTACACTATGGGAATTATGGTATATTCCTTATTATGGGTAATGCAGGATTTTGTCCATCCACCGCTACTACGGCTGATAGACAAAATCCTGCATTACCCTAAGGACCCTACACTATGGGAATTATGGTATATTCCTTATTATGGGTAATGCAGGATTTTGTCCATCCACCTACTACTACTACTACTACTACTACTCCTACTACTACTCCTACTACTCCTACTACTACTACTACTACTACTACTACTACTACTACTACTACTACTACTACTACTACTACTACTACTACTACTACTACTACTACTACTACTACTACTACTACTACTACTACTACTATTCTACTACTACTACTACTACTACTACTACTACTACTACTACTACTACTACTACTACTACTACTACTACTACTACTACTACTACTACTAGTACTACTACTACTACTACTACTACTCGCACTACTACTACTGCTACTGCTACTACTACTACTACTACTACTACTAATATTGCTATTACTATTATCATTACTATTACTTTTACTATTATTATTATTATTACTATTACTACTACTACTACTACTACTACTACTACTACTACTACTACTACTACTAGTACTACTACTACTACTACTACTACTACTCGCACTACTACTACTGCTACTGCTTCTACTACTACTACTACTACTACTACTATTACTAATTACTATTATCATTACTATTACTATTACTATTATTATTACTATTACTATTGCTATTATTATTACTATTACTATTACTTTTACTATTACTATTATTATTACCATTACTATTACTATTACTATTATTATTACTATTACTATTACTATTACTATTATTATTACTATTACTATTACTATTACTATTACTATTATTATTACTATTACTATTACTATTACTATTACTATTACTATTACTATTACTATTACTATTACTATTACTATTATTATTACTATTACTACTACTACTACTACTACTACTACTACTACTACTACTACTACTACTACTACTCCTGCTACTACTACTACTACTACTAGTACTACTACTACTACTACTACTAGTACTACTACTACTACTACTACTACTACTACTACTACTACTACTACTCCTGCTACGACTACTACTACTACTACTACTACTAGGACTACTAACTACTACTACTACTACTACTACTACTACTACTACTACTACACATGGAGAAAGTTTTTTTTTTGATTGGAAAAAGTTTTTTTGATTGGTGAAAAAAGTTTTTTTTGATTTTCGCTGAAAGTTTTTTTTGATTGAAAAAACGTTTTTTTTGATGGGTTTCCCGGGTTTAAGGGGTTGAATTGGGTTAGAAGCAGATCTAACTATCGTTACGTTGCTTCTAACATCTTACAACTCTACTTACTGAGTCCCTGAGCCTTGCAGTACTGCGGGTTTAGGATGTAGGGGATCAATATCGACAGGCCTCAGTAAGAGTGACATTCATCCTCGAACTTAGAGAGCTCCCGTCAACCCTATGCCGTAAACCGTAACCGGTTAAACCACTAAGCCCGTCAGCCAAACCCTAAACCGTAAACCCTACCGACGTCCCGAACGGAAGGCGAAGCAGGGCTACTGCATCTACCGTGTGCGCGTGAAGCGCGGCGACCGGAAGAAGCGGGTGGTCGGGGGGCTTAGCAAGTCCCGAGAGGCACTTTTTGTCTAAGCTTTTTTGAGGTTTAGGGTTCAGGGTTCAGTGTTTGGGGTTCAAGGATATGCAAGGGTTGGTTTCATTGATTCAAGGTCATTCAGACGGTCTTGCCACCACCACCACTACCACCACCACCACCGCCACCACCACCACCACGACGACGACTACTACTACCATCAAGGCTCTGAAGCGATTACTATAAGGAGTTCTGTTGAATTCCTCAACTGTTTAATTGTAGATACGTGGCGACAAATCCCAAGCAGCCTCCGTTCCTTAACGTTCCGTACTAGTTTATAGCATCATATGCCCCAATCCCATCCAAATCATTGTGGAGAATCTTGGAGAGTTCTCCTCCATGGGCCATCGGGCATGTAGTAGGCAGGGTCAGATGTGCTTTTTCGGGATTATCAAATAAGTATAGATCGTTGCCTCAACTATGGGCCTACTTAACAACTCAGCAGAACCTGTAAGGCAAGTAGTTCATCACGACCCTCCGGAAACGCCGCGACAAAGGCCTTCACACTTCCGTAGAGGAAGCCTGCACTGTCACCCTAAACGGTAAAATCGCAAGCTCTAAAGCCCTACTTGGAAGATAATGGGACTTAGTAAGCAAGGTTATGAGTGAGAATTCGGGTTATAAGTAGTTATAGTTGCCCTAATTATAACCCCAGTTACTAAGTCCCATGACCCTTCAAGTAAACCAAAAAAAAGCACTCAACCGCAGAGCTCCGCAGGCCCGAAAACACAGAAACCGCAAAAGAGGGTATCGAAATCATTGGTAATGCTAGTTCCATGCAATCGTTGCAGAGTTCGAGTATGTAACCTTCATATGAGATTGTGGTAATATACGACCAAAGCCATCATGAAAGCTGTATTAAGGCTAAGGCTATAAGTCGCCATTGACACAAGTACATAAAAATCCTATAGAAGCCCTAATAAAAAGTGCCAGTAAACCACCAGACAAAGAAACATTATAAACCCTTCGACAACCCTACAACAGCCTGATAGACACCCCAAACCGCTTTAATACTTCCCAAGAGAGTCGTGGAACAACGGCTAAGCCTAAACCTGTGGAATGAGCCCTAAACCCCAAGCCCTCGAACCTTTCCGGCTTCAGATTCCCAGAGACGGCTCAGGCCAAGGGCATCGTCTACGGCAAGCCTGTGAACCAAGGTATCAACAAGTGGAAGGCCACCGTCGTTAGGGTTCAGGGGTTAAGGGTTGTTAGGGCCTAAGGGGTTCAGGAGGCTCGAGGTTTGGAAAGTTAAAGTGTTTCGGTTGTTTAAAGGGTTTTTTCGGGTTTAGGGGTGTAGGTGTAGGGTTTCAGGGGTTTAGGGTCTAGGGTGTAATCAGGGGTTTAGGGCTTGGGCTTTGGGGTTTAGGGCAAAGCTGAATGGGTCTTATAGGGTTGTACAACAGAGACGTATGCAATGCTTCGTGATGCTTTCAATATGCTTTTGAAAGGATTTGCTAGGGTCTGAAGTGACTCTTAACTTAATTCAGGAATGTAGCTTAATGCAGATGCAGGATGACCTCTACCAGAACCCTAAACCCCAAACCCTAAACCTTAAACCCTAAACCCTAAACCCTAAACCCTAAACCCAACGGTTGAGAGGTTAGGGTTGCTTCATCGGATTGTCAGGGGTTTAGGGATGAGATATACAGAACAGGAGTATCGCAGTGTGAATCCAGGTTCTAGCATGTCATAGAACTTAGGCTTCAGGGCGTAGACCCCAAAGCCTAAACTCCTAAACTCTTAAACTCCTAAACCCTCAACCCTAAACCTTAAACCTTCAACCCTCTAAACCTAATTCCTCAAAAGCGGGTTGTATATAGGGCCTGAAGAAGTACCCACACCATTCCTTCAGGGTTCCTGCAAGCCCAAAAACCTCACAACCTCACCCTAAAACCCCAAAACGCGCCTAAAACCCTAAACCCTAAACCCTAGAACAAAGGCCGTGAGAAACCTTCGCAACATCGCGGAAGAGCGGGTCGGACGCAAGTGCGGAGGTGGGTTGGGTCTCAGGGGTTAGGCTTAGGGGCGTAGGGTCTAGGGTGGCCGGCTGAGGGTTTAGGGGTTTAGGGTGGCCGGTTTAGGGTTTAGGGTGGCCGGTTTAGGGTTTAGGGGTTTAGGGTTTAGGGGGCTCAGTTGGCTTGTTTTGTATAAGGAGAAGCCGAGGCCAAGCTAGAAATCCACCATCCCCTACCCGTACCCCCATGAACCTCGTAGCTCCAAACCCCGCACCCTGCCTTCTTTATCTTACTCCTGGCTCTTTTAAAGGGGGCCTTATTGAGAGGGTCTATATCCCCAAGGGTCCCCTTAATCCTAACCCTTACCTAACTACCCAAGACTTCATGTACCCTGGCGGGGTTACCTTCGGGGTTGCTTTAAGGGCTACTTTCAGGCCTGTATAGGGTTTAAAAGCCCCCAAGGCTGCCCGTAGTCCTAACTTCTACTAGGTTTAAAGTTTAAGGCGATTCTGCGAGGTCCTTCTTCCGCCATGAGACGCTCTTGCTATAACAGCATGCCCTCTGCACGGTTTAGGTTTAGGGTTTAGGGATTTCGGGTTTCGGGCTTAGGTTTGGGGATTTAGGTTTAGGGTTTGGGGATTTAGGGTTTAGGGTGTAGGCTTCAGGGATCTCTTCAGGGCTTGGCTTCATGAGCTCGGAATGTTAGCTCTGCCAATTTCGGCTTTCGCCATATCTGACATCTGAGCAGCAACTGTTAGGATTCTTCAGTATAGCAATAGCGTAACTTACCCCAAAACTCTATTCTAGTTGTTAAGCCAAGTTTTTTGGGCTTTGGCTTTGGTCTCGCAAGCAACCGCTCGCGCCGACAGCCATGAAAGGGCACCTTGGTGGCTGGATTTGTAGCAGCAATTGCTGACCGGGTTTAGGGTTTAGGGATTAGGCTTTAGGGATTCGGGTTTAGGATTTAGGGTCTGGGGTTTAGGGTTTAGGGATTCGGGTTTAGGATTTAGGGTTTGGAGTTTAGGGTTTAGGGATTTGGTTTCGGGATTAGGGTGTTGGGTTTCGACTCACTGGATCCCAAAAACCCGCAAGTACCCCTACCAGGAGGATCCAAAAAGTAGATCCCTTAATGGGGGGTTCCTATAGAGTACCCTTAGTAGTATAAAGGCCCCAAATGAGGCGATCTACTTTCTAGATCCTCCAGGGGGTCTGGGTAAGAGCCTAAGTTAGACACCGCCGAAACCTCGGGCTTTAAGCCGATGGCAAGTTGCCGTGTCAAAGTAATCAGGAAACATGATAGTAGGACTCGTAGGGTTTAGGGTTGAGGTAGTGAGGATAGTAGGAATCGTCGGATAAATATCCGACACTGTAAGCCCTGTGCTCTTATCTGCGAGCTCCAAACCTGAAGCACGTCAACCTACCAAAAAGTGTAAGTTTGCAAGGGTTACATATAAGTCTTACGTGTTGCGCTGTAAACCCCCCGACGATGAATTAGGTTCTGGTGGGTTAGGGTAAACTCTAGCCGCCGGTCTCCGAACCCCGCGAAACCCACCACTCTGAGACCCTGCACCCCTAAACCCTGAGACTGCACAGAAAGAAGCCATTGCACTTTAAAACAAAAAAACCCTGAGACCCCTTAAACCTTAAGCCTTAAACCCACAAACGCCTGAACCACAAATCCTTAGACCTTACTTGGAGGGTCGGGGGACTTAGTAAGTAGGTAGTAAGTAGACTTATAAGTACCCTAAAAGGGACCCTAATTGGGGTTATGGTACTTATAAGTCCCCAAAATAACCAGTTACTAAGTCCCCCGACCCTCCAAGTAGACCCCTGCCTAAAGCACTTGCCAGACCTGAACGCAGGACTCCGGGTGCTGAACTCCTACTGGGTGGCTCAGGACTCTGGAGGGAAAGAAGCCCGGTTTAGGGTTTAGGGTTTAGGGTTTAGGGTTTAGGTCTAGGGTTCAGGGTTTTTTCCTTCCAAGTTTCAGTCCAAGGGTAAAAGGATGGACCCTTAATAAGGATCTCTAGGAATGTACCCTTAATATAGCCATTATATACCCATTATATAGCCCGTTATAGGGTAGGGGTCCCCATTAAGGGTCCCTCCTTGTCCCCTTTGATTCAGGATTGTTCAGGATTTGGGGTTTCGCTGTTTTTGAGAACGGTCGGGAAGCTTCAGGGCTCTGGGGTCGTCTGCCTCAGGGACGTTCCTGTGGATGCTTACTTGGAGAGTCGGGGGACTTAGAAACTGGTTATTTAAGGGACTTATAAGTACCATAACCCCAATTAGGGCCCCTTTTAGGGTACTTATAAGTCTACTTACTACCTACTTACTAAGTCCCCCGACCCTCCAAGTAACGGGTGTGCAATGTGCTTAGGTGAAGCGTCTTTGCCTGTTGGGTGCTTGTTTGTCGGCATAGGATGATGATGATCGATGGCGACAGCAGCAGTGATGAACTGTGAAGGGAACGGCGATGACGAGGATTAGAATGATTAGAGTGTGCCTTTGGATGTTTGTGATAAGACAGATGGCGGTGACAACGCTAACGAGCAGGGCGGCTTTTTTCAGACTCGTCCTGTTTTCAGCGTTGTGATCTTCTTCTGTTACCCCTAAGCCCTAAACCTTAAACCCGAGACCCAAAGCCCTAAACCCTAAAACCGAGCTTAGAGTGCACGTCGGTCAAGGGTCGAGAACCTCGGGAAGCCAGTGGCATGGCACCAAAGCCAAGTTTAGGCCAAACCACGGGGGCAAGCGATCCTAAGCCCGAACCTTAAAGCCGAATCCCTAACCCCCAAACCCTAAACCCTAAACCCGAAACTTAAACCCTAAAGCCCCAAACCCTAAACCCCCAAACCCTAAACCCTAAACCCCCAAACCCCTAAACCCTAAACCCTTAACGATGGGCGTGCCGAGGGGTATCGAGCTTAGGACTTTCGGTTTGCGGTCGTGTCGAGTCGAGGGCATCCACCTTCACCGGGGGGCCTTGTAAGAAGTCCCATGTCGTCATTAGGTTTTAGGGTTTTAGGGGTTTAGGGTTTTAGGGGTTTAGGGTTTAGGGTTTAGGGTTTTAGGGTTTAGGGTTTAGAGTCATCGTAGTCACCAGTTCTGCTTCTTCCCTAAACTCTAAGCTCCCTCCCCCACGCCCTAAATCCTAAATCCTAACACCCAGTCCCTAAACCATAAGCTCTCTGCCAGCCATATAAACCCTAAACCCTAACACCAAGTCCCTGAACCCTAAGCTCTCTTCCCTGAGTCCTACACCCTAACTCCCAGTCCTCGAACCCTAAGCTGCCCTAAACCCTAAACCCTAAATCTGCCCCAGGCCCTAGACCTTAATCTCCAGACTCCAAACTGGGTCGAACTTCCCAGGACGCCGTGCACAAGTGGTTTGAGGTTGTGACTGGGCTCTTTGTGATCCGGGACCCTAATGTAGTACCTTAAGTAATAGAATCCCTATACTAAGGACCCCCAAATCTCTAACTTTCGGAACTTCCCAAACCCCAAGTTATATACCATTTTAGGGATCCATAGTTTGAATATTATGGCTTCCTTGTTATGGTATTACACCCCTTAACAAAAAACCCAGGTGATGGTGGATCCTTACCACAAGCCAGGGCCCCAGCAGCTTGTGGGTTTTCATGAGTTTGGAACTATTGGCTGCTGTCGCTACGACGACGACGACTACTACTACCACTACTACGACTACTACTACTACTACTACTACTACTACTACTACTACTACTACTACTACTACTACTACTACTACTACTACTACTACTACTACTACTACTTAATCATATCAATCATATCAATGCAAGTGTGCTCGTGAGACTTGGCGCCATGGCAGAAGTAATGTCAGTACCGACGAGACCAAGTGCACTTATTCTTATATTGGAAGGTGTCACAGCGCAGATGGGCCTGGAGTTTGTTGCAAGACGTAGCCACTAAAGCCCCGGAAACCCTAAGCCAATCCAAGAGTTATGTCCGCGGCCTTACATGGTTAATAGATGCACGGTCCAGGGTTTTGGGTTTCGGGTTTGGGGTCTGGAGTCCAGGCTTCAGGGTTGAGGCATCCTTGTCAAAAGAAGAGCTCAGAAGTAATATGGGGGCCTTCATGATTAGAATAGGCCTCTGAGGCCCTTTATGCTGTCATTATAATAATAAGCCCCCAAAATAGTATAGGAAATTATCGAGGCCCCTATAGTATGCATCTTGAGCATATCGGAGACAAGGTTGTCCAAGCATACAGTTGTCAGGACTTTGTGATTCACAACATGGTTTAAGCGTCAAGGTTTGGGGTCTAAACCCTAAATCCTAGACCCCAAACCCTAAACCCTAAACTAAGGCTGTTGGGGATTAGAGGCGAATCATAGCCGGGTTAAGAGGCGAAAGCATATACCCGACGCTTGCTGAACAAGGGCTCTTGCAGCTCAAGCCTCTCCCAAAGCCGCATCCCCAGGCCGCGAAGCCCAAGCCGCAAGACGTAGAATGAGATTACTTGGAGGGTCGGGGGACTTAGTAAGTAGGTAGTAAGTAGGCTTATAAGTACCCTAAAAGGGACCCTAATTGGGGTTATGGTACTTATAAGTCCCCAAAATAGCAAGTTACTATAAGTCCCCCGACCCTCCAAGTACCGACCCGAATCACTTTACAACAACCTCTTGACCGAAACTGTAGATCCCGTCTGGATGCATCCATGAGGACCATCCGCGACGATCCGCGCATCAACTGGACCGCTTCCTTTTGTTCGTGTATGTGGAGTTTCAGGGCTTTAGGGCATGGGGTTTAGGGTATAGGCATAGGGGTTAGGCCCGAATTGTAGGGGGCAGGTTCAAAGGCTTCACATCTGCACATGCTACTGCGACATTGGCCACAAGGTCTATATTACGACCAAGACGTCTACAAAACCAAACAACCACTAAAACCGCCACCTGCAGCACCACCAGCAACAGGAATTGCAACGATAAGAAGAACAGAACGCGAGACAAAGCGAGTACAAGCATCACGAGAGCAACGCCGAGAAGAAACAGCATCAGCTGAAGGAAGACTTCTATTTCGTATGTATATATATATATATATATATATATACATATGCAATAATAATCCGCGTCAAAATAAAAGAAACGGATGAGTTGAAGAGTCGGGAAAACCTCAGGCATTAGGGATCCCCTAGATTTGCAAAGGGATGCCCTAAACCCTAAACATCGCGTGACAATGGACGTGCAGGGTGAGAACGGGCTCTTTCCGGACTTCCAGAATTGAGGGGTCTTTAGTGAAGTGTGAAGCTTTTGATGCCAGCCGTCGTGACATGTGTAGTCATTGAAGAGCCCTTAGAAGAAGAGACCCCCTAAAGCACGATATATACCTTCTAAACCCTAATCCCTAAACCCTAAGGGCTTGAGATATGCCAGGATCTGCAAGCCTGTGATGAAGCACCGCGAGCTGCGCGGACTCACGGCGGCCGGCAAGAAGGCCAGGTTTAGGAGTCTAGGCTTGCGGGTTTAGGGGTTTGGCGTGTACTTGGAGGGTCGGGGGACTTAGTAACTGGTTATTTTAGGGACTTATAAGTACCATAACCCCAATTAGGGTCCCTTTTAGGGTACTTATACGCCTACTTACTACCGACTTACTAAGTCCCCCGACCCTCCAAGTAGGGTTTCAAGGGTCCCGTATAAACAGGAAACACTGAACCCCGCTGTACTCAAAACCCCTAAATGCTAAAATCCTTGTGCAGACTCTAAACCCTAAACCCCATCTACAATCTTGGGAAGATTTCTTCATGAAGGGCAGTTGCAGTCCCCCCGGGTCCCCTCAAGGAGAGGGATCTGTAGTATGATCCAAGGCAATATAGGGGCCTTCATGATTAACTATACTATTTTGGGGGTTCCTTATTATGGCCTTCCTGATTACCTATACTATTTTGGGGGTCCCTAACTATAACTCTAGTATAGTATACCCCAAAACCCTATTCCAATCAGTAAGGCCCCTACATTACATCGCTTTCTTGAAGGGTTCTCGAGACGCCCTTGAAGGAGCCCGGCTCCGACACTTAAGGCAATATATCTCTGTAAATCCCGACTCAACCCCTATGGAAGCCCTGATAGAACTCTTTAAACTCCGTTCTGGAGCCTTAAACCCAGACCCCAAACCCTCAGCCCGAAGCCCTATATCTTCAACCCTACGGCCTGAGTCCTAGACCCTGCGCCCCTGAAAGCAAAGGCCCGAGGCCTCACCCTAAAACTCTAAACCCTAAACCCTAAAAAATCCTAAACCCTAAACCCTAAACCCTAAACTCTAAACCCTAAACTCTAAACCCTAAACTCTAAACCCTAAACCCTACATCTAAACTCTAAGCCCTAAACCCTAAACCTTGAAACCCCCCCCCCCCCCTGCGCGAGCAAAGGCCCGCGGCCTCCTCAAGAAGGGGAAGAGGGCCACCAAGCTCCGACCTTCCTACCGGGCCGCTTACCGCCTGGGTCTCGAGAAGGGCTGAGGGTTTAGGGCTTTTCGGGTTTTTCTTGTGTTTAGGGTTTTGGGCTTCGGAGAGGGTGTAGTATAGGGCTTTTTGGGTCTTTGTGTTTAGGGTTTGGGGCTTCAGGGAGGGTATAGGGCTTTTTGGGTCTTTGTGTGTAGGGTTTCAGGCTTCGGAGAGGGTGTAGTATAGGCTATAGGGCTTTTTGGGTCTTTGTGTTTAGGGCTTGGGGCTTCAGGGAGGGTATAGGGCTTTAGGTTTTTCTTTGTTTAGGGTTTTAGGCTTCAGGGAGGGTATAGGGCTTCAGGGTTTTAGGCTTCAGGGAGGGTATAAGGCTTTTTGGGTCTTTGTGTTTAGGGTTTTGGGCTTCAGGGAGGGTATAGGGCTTTAGGGTCTTTGTGTTTAGGGTTCTAGGGCTCAGGGTTTAGGGATTGAGGTTCAAGACCGTCCGGGTTCGAGGATTTATAGGTTTGTTTAGGATTTAGAGAAGCCGGGCGTAGGGAGACCGGACCATGGCGAAGAGAAGTGGAGGGTTTCCGTTTGCTTTAACGGGTTTGATAGGTTCCCAGAGAGCCCAATACCACTTAATTAAGGAATATAGCTTAAATTATAAGGGGGCGCATAAAATGATTTAAGCTGTATTCCTCAATTAAGGGGTATTGGGCTCTCTGGTTTTCCACGTGAATTGTAGGATGCTTTTCTTTCGAAGAAGGGTTGTGTTATTACCATACCGACACGCTGAGGGCTTGGTATGCAGGGTTTCAGGGCTACGGGGTTCTCGGGTTGCTGGGTGTAGGGTTTCAGATTAGGGTGGCGCTTCCGAGCTAAGCCCGCAGCTCAAATTCCTTCGTTCAAGGGGCTTGAGCATTTTTCACAAGCTGTTAAGCTACGTAGGGGCGCACGTACTGCTTAATGATCTTCCGGTATGGTCCCTCTATAATTTTGGCATATAAATGTATCAGTACATACCCCAACGCGCTTTTCTGATCATGAAGGCCCTACAGTATATCAGGTTTAGGCTCCGACTTGGGGTGATAAGGCCTCCAGGTAGTGTCAACAGCCAAAAAGGCGCGAAAGGCCCAAACCCCAAAACCAGAGGAAAGTCTGCCAAGGTCGTCACAGCCTCATGCGGCTTCGCCGCTACCGCTGAGATCCGCACCGCCCGCCCAAGCCAAAAAGGAGTCTGAAGACCGCTTTTGCTACAGTCTCCTTCGGAATTGTGTAATCAATATTGGTATAGTTGATCCCAAACATGAAAGTCCTGAAAGGGTTTAGGGGTTTACGGATTATTTAGGGTTCTGAAAGACTTTCCTGAAGCTTCGAGCCTCTCCAAACCGTCAAGCCTAATACAGGGGCCTTGATAGTTACCTCTACTCTTCTGGGGTAGAGTGCGCCCCAAAACCCTCACTAAGGCCCCTATATTACTCTGCAAACCAATTATAATAATGAGTCTTCAAAGCCCTGAAGCTCCACAGCATGAAACCCTCATGCCCTGACCCTGAGACGAAAAAGGCCAAAGGCCCTAAACCCGGAACACAGAGCCTTGAACGCGAGATTTCCTGCAAAGCCCAGAGCCTTGGGAAGTTGGGTGGGTTTGGGACTATGCTCCATGCTAATGCTTATGTGATGTAGGGCCGGGACTTGAGGGGGATACTGTGACTAACTATCCAGGCCGCTTTATAAGAGAAAGCCCAAAGCATCCTACGAAGGCTGATCAGCAAGCTTTGCTAAAGCCCCCCGGTAAGCCCAGAAGCCAATGCTGAACCCGAACAACCCAGAGACTCCACTATCCCTAAAGTGAGGAATGTACACTTAAACCCATATTAGGAATTTAAGGTAGGATCCTTAATATAATTTACGGAATATTCCTTAATTAAGGGTTTGTGGAGTCTGCTTGGAGGATCATGGGACTCAGTAAGTAAGGTTGTAAGTAAGTTATAATTAGAATAACCCCACTTAGGGGACTTATAACGACAATTATACCTACTTACTAAGTCCCATGATCCTCTAAGTGTGGGAAAACCAGGCCGAGCAAGACTTCATCGTCGCTTTCCGATCGAACAGCAACGCTCTGCAGGTCCTGGGTGGGGGGGGGGGGTTGGCATTTTGGAAGATTCTTTTTGGGTTCCTTTAAAGGGTTCCTTAAAGGGGTCTATGAGGGATCTATGGTAGGGTTCTATGTAGAATGGGCCCCAAAACCCTATTCTAATTAGACAGGCCCCTACATTAGGGTGTTCAGGGCTTATTGGTCCACTGGTGTGGGGTGATTTGGAGTTCAGGGTTTGGGGTTATGTATGCCTCCATGTCCAGTGTCGCCGACATCCATTGCATCATCCCCAGCACGATGGTCATACGTGTCCGTTTTGGGGTTAGGGCTTGAGGTTTTAGGGTTTGTCCCGCTGTACTGAAGGCACAGGAAGCAATGTCTCTCTCTGTCTCCCCTTCTCTGTCTGCATTTTTGATCGCTCCTGCTCTTTCGAGACAAGACTAGATGTCAATGTAGATTCAGGGTTTAGGGTTTACGGTTTAGGTATGAACCCATACAAGGCAGGCAGACCAGACAGACAGACGGACCAAGAGCGACAGATGTACATGCATACACATACAGCCTTGTCGTTTTCCATAAACAGACCGTCTAGTAGACCTTCTTACAGGTACAGGGCTCTGTCTATTATTTCTAAAAGGACAAGGGTGAACACACATGGGTGGTTGTCATACGGCACCTAATATTTAGGGTACCCAAAAAGGGACCCGAATTTTGCTAGCTGCTAACGTTCGTACTCTATACATTCAGGATCTCACTGGTTGCGGAGTCCGGCCTGCAGGTTATGTTCGATGGGGATCGGGTTCATGCAGGAGCTTGAGCACATGGAGGAGCCACCGTAAACTCTTTCTAAACCTTAAACCCTTTATAAAAATAAAGGATTGAAACCCGAAGCCCCAAGGCCCTCAGGCTAGGATGCGAGGACTTGGGAAGTACAGTTATAAGCGTGGGAGCACGAGTGTTGTATAATCGAATCACAATCCGAATCGACATGCTCCTACTGCGACTTACTATTCAAACACGGCTTTTCTCGAACTGGAGCATCGAACTATCGCCGCTCCTGCTGAGAAAAACATCTCCGGTGCCGACTTCGTGCGACTCGTGTCGCCGTTGTCTGCCGAAGCCTCAGCTTTAACTAGGAACCCATAGCTTCTCGTAGGCCTTCTGCACAAGGGACCCCCGGGTAAAGGGTTGAGGGTTTAGAGATTTGGGGTTTAGGATCTGTGGTCTACGGTTTAGGAGTTAGGGTTTAGGGATATAGAGTTTAGGGATTTGGGGCTTGAAGGTTTCCGAGCCTAAGAGAAGAATTCCGTTGAGGACTCCTGTCGAAGGACTCTGTAAAGGTTCTTTGGGGGTTTAGGGCTTAGGGTTTAGGGTTGGGGGTGTAGGGCTTAAGGTTTATATGTTTCGCGACGGTAGGTTCAGCCTCATAAACTCTGTTTGATGGTTGATACTTTCAACCCTTGGCCTTTACCGCTGCACTCTTGGACTCTTAGCCCATAGCACAACTCCCGAAACCCGATAATATGGAGGTCGGAACAAGTAGTAACAATATCCTTATAGCCCGCATATGTTTTTAGGGTTTAAAGCTTAGGAGCGGACCGACCCCGATCGAAAAGAGCACGAGAATTGATGACCAGGAGAAAATATCAGAGAATAGATGTTTAGCCAAACACTAAACCCCGAGCCCCGAGGACTTAAACCTTTGCAGGAAGCAACTGGGGGAAAAGCAAGGCCGGGAGACTGTAATAAGCGCCTGGACCCTTATCCCCAAGCTTTCCTAAACCCTACACCCAGTAACTGCACATCAACTATGGCGGGATGAGGAGTGTTTCAAGTTGCAACCTACCTACCGCTTTGTCATGGGAGTACCTACTGGGCCGATGCCGGCAGAGTTTGTGAATCCAGGACTCCCCAAAGACTTCACGAAACTGGAGGTGAACAAGAAGCTGGCTTTTGCCCATGTGAGCTAGGAAGACTCCATCCAATTCTGGCAGGATGAGAGTCTAAACCTTAAACCCAGGATGAGAACCTTGTGCAATTGGAGTGGTGTTGATGACAAGCTGGAAGTTGCCAAGCTTGGATCACTCGTTCAGGGCACAGTCACACTATACTGCCACATTGGTACAACATCGGCTGTGAAGAGGAGGAGGCAGAGCAGGAGGAGGAGGAAGAATCATTCATGGGGTTTGGGATTTGAGGCTTTGGATTTTTTCTGAGTCTAGGTGTCCAGAGCAAGAAGAAGGGTGGATAGCCTGAAGAAGAAGTGGCTCAAGTTGCCGTGAGTGCTCAAACTTGAGGTGCCGACGTGGCCAGCCTTGAGGCCTGCATTCTAGTGCTCTCGAACAGAACCCAAACCGTAACCTCGTAGAGGTCGTAGGCCGGATTAGCCGGCGAGGGCTGGGCGGGAGCCGTAGTTTGTCAGGCGCTCTTTGCGCCATCTGCTTGAACACCGCTGCAACTTGCAACCTTGAAACATCTTACTTGCACAGATCGCTTGATTTTCTTGGAAAAGTTTTGTTTTGAGGGCCTTGCTTGCAAAAACGCCCTTTGTTGCCAAACTTTCTTGCGTACAGTTTCCTTGAAGGAAGGCAGCAGGCGCGCAACGACTTGCGCGAGAAGTCAGTGCAGACATGTCGCGTGCTTACCACGTGTGCAAGAAGTGCGGGCCCAGCAGTTGGATCTTTCAGGATCGTGTTGGGTCGAACCCGTTCTGCCAGAAGTGTGGATGTCAGTGGCCGAAGGCCACGCAGCAGAAACCGACTGCGGTTGCAGGGGCGGACTGGGCAAGCCGAAATGATCCGGTCCGTGTATGGAAGAATAAGGGCCCCAAGGCCGCTCCACAGAAGGGCCGGCCTGACGGCAAGATCCATCGTGCATTGCACTCCCTCTGGGAGAATGTACGCCTGCAGTGCAGCAAGGGCTTCTCGCAGCTGGCTGGAAGCCCAAGGAAGAGGACAAACCTGAGCCCCCGCCGGGGCTTCCGCATAAAAGCGTTGGGGGATGCATCGGCAAGGGCAAGGGCAAAGGTAAGCAGCAGGAGCAGCGTGAGGGTGATGCTGCCCAGGCCTTGTGGGCGTCTGCAAATGCCGATCAGAAAGCCCTCTTGCAGCAGCTGGGCTTCAATGACCCCAGCCCGAGTGAGCCTGCAGACTTGAAGTCCTTGGTCAAAGCGCACATGGATCAGCTGCCTGAGTCCCTGAAGCAAGCGATTGCCAGCCTGGAGCCTCAGACACCAGAGCCCTCAGCAGCCGAGCAGGTGATCACTGCGACCCGTAAGTTCAAGGCCAGCACTAATGAGCTCCGTCAGCTCATTCAAAAATCTGCGGGCCTACAGGTTAAGATAGACCGCGCCAAGTCTGCGTATGCGGATCTCTTAGATCAGATGAAGAGTGTTCAGGCGGAGCTTACGGACAAACAGAATGAAGTGGCGGCCTTGCAAAAGGACCTTGAATCCAGGGTCCAGTCTGCTCCTGAGCCGTCAGCCCTGCCATGCAAAGAGGCCGTCCTGCGAGCGCTTCAGCAGTGTGGCATCAACTTGAGTAGTGAGCAACAGGCCCTTCTTGACTGCAATGCCATGGAAGTTGAAGAGGCGAAGGAGGAGGCGCAGCAGGAACAACCTGGCGCCCCGAAGCCAGCCCAGGTGACCCCACAGCAGGGCTCTCAGCCCCCAGAGCAGCGGGGTGCTGCTGGAAGGCAGGACGGCGATCGTGATGAGAAGCCTCGCTCGCGCAGTCGGGGCCGAACTCAGGGTTAGGGATTGGGGTTAGGAGTTGTGATTGGGTGTGGTCCTTCGGCTGTTTCCTTGGTCAGAGGTAGAAGCCGTTCTTGTTTTGTGCAAACAGATGATCTGGTGCATCCGAAAGTTCAGGCCTCAACCGCTACTCCGCTGTTCCAAGTCTTACCTTATATTCCTGCCAGCCTGCATTCTGAGCAGTTCGCAGGCGCCCCGGGTCAGCCAGAAGGGTTTTGTGACTTGCAACTTGATTTTCGGGGTGCCAGGGTTTTTAACAATTCCTTTGATCAAGTGCCTTCTTCAGTGGCCCTCCCCCACTGCGGTGCAGCTCCCGTTCAGGACCAATCTGTTGGGGGCGAAGTGTGGCACATCAATACCTGCTTGAGTTGTGCATCGCCTCTAGCTTTCTCACGAACGGTGAGTTCTAGTGCTATGGGCAAGCAGGACGAGTTTTGCGCCTTGTGTGCCCAGGCTACTTCTGCTGCCAGCTGTGCTGGAGTGGCGCATGTGGAGCCCTCAAGTGTGAGCCGGTGGGTCAGCGGGTTCCGGGGCTGGGATTTTGGGCTTCAGGATGAGGGGTTTTTGCCTTTGACGGAAGCCTTGCAGTGCTCTGTTTGTCTGGCGCCGTTGGTCACTCCCTCGCCCAACCCCACCCCCTTTCTTCAGCCTCTCTGTCGACTGTGCAGCTGCGAATTCCAGTCATCTGCAGAGGTTTCCCAGGTCGCATTGCTTGATCCCTACGTGTTTTCAGGTGAACCTGTGCACAAGGTTTTCCATGTCATTGCCGACAATGCCTTGCACTTGAGCTCCTGGCCTGCTCAACCTTTGGCGGCTCAGGCCCGGAGCCACGCTAGGCTGAGGGAGTGCCGGCTGTGGAAGCAAATTTCATTTCCGTTCCTTAACCCGTGTGCCTCCTTCCTTGTGGAAGGCCCTAACCCCAATTCGACGTTGACAGGAGCCCCTGTGTCTCCCGGGCCCCAAGTTGGGCCTAGGTGGCCTTTCACGTTGAATGAGGTGCGGGATGATCTCCTAGGCAAGTGCGCAAGGCCTTCGACATCTGCACCACAACATGCATCACATCCATTTTGCAGTGCAGCTGCTTCTTCGGACCAGTCCGTTAGGGAAGTGGCTGTGCCTGACAGGTCCTGTGCGCTCTGTGCAGTGCCGCTTGTAGTCTCACGAAGTGTGAGTTGTCAGACGTGGACCAATTTTCATCCATTTTGCACAATTTGTGCGCAGGCTGTGTCAGCTGCGTCTTTCGGCCCACTCCAGAGTGCACAAATTGGCACGAGGGTTGCAGGGTAGGGGTGATGGGATGAAGCAGGTTGAGTTGCTGCCTTCACGAAGGTTTCGAGTTCCGGGTCTCAATGACCAAAACCGGCTTGAGCATCAGAATCTTTGTCAAGTGCTGTGTGCATGCTGTATCGCCCCGATTCTTGGGCCCTTTCCCTGGATGCGCCCTCATTGGCAGCCCATGTGTCCTTGTTGCAGCGGTGGCGAGGGCCTGCCTGAGGTTGCGATGCGATTTGTGCTGCTGGACCCTTATGTGTCAGGAGAGCCTGTGCATAGAGTGTTTTCAGCTGCCAGTTGCTTGAGTAAGCCCTTTTCAGGCCCTCTCGCTAGTGAGGGTGTCAGGGCCCCGGTGAGTGGAGTTTTGCGGCTTGGCACTGGCGAGGTTTTTGCATTTCAGGTCCCGAACCTGTGCCTTTACCCTCCCTTTGAGGGCAATAACCCCAATTTCTTGCAGCTGTGTGGAGCCTCGTGCATAAAGGACCTTGCCATGCACACGAGGCTGTCGGCTCCATCACTCCGGAGCCTGACTCTGTGTGCTCCCTCTCTTTTCAAGGACCCTAGGCCCCGATTGCACGGCCTGGACGCTTCGGGCCTTAGATCCGTGCAACAAGAGATTTTGGACAGTAGGTCTGGGAGCCCTGGTGAGCCATCAGTTGCACTCCCTAACCTGTGTGCTGCCTCCGTTCCTGAGGACCTTAACCCCAACTTGTCAGTGCGCACTACAACAACACAGAGTGCCCTTCGTGAGGAGGCGCAACTTCCTTCAGGTGTGCAGCCGGAGGCAGAAAGCAAAGGTCCAGATGTCGATGAATTTTCATTTGCACTCCCTAACCCGTGTGCATCTCCCTGGCCTGAGGCCCCTAACCCCAATTTGACCAGCGAGGCCCTGCAGGAGCAACTCAGAGGTCTTGAGGCGGATGGTTGGTGCGTTGGATGTGGCCAATCCCAGGTCTTAGGGCGTAGCACGAACCAGGATGTTAAAAATTTTGTGCAGGCATGCTGCCACGTTCACTTGAAGGCGCCTTGTGACGAAGCCCTCACTGCCCTGTCTGATGTCTTGAACTACTGCCCGAGGTGCTTATGCAAG